CTTTGGCCAGTGAGGCCGGCAGTGAAACAGCGGCTCCAGGTGCCCTGGAAGCTGTGGTCTGCCCCTCCCACTGCCGGGTGCCGCCTCGCCGGCCTCGACAGCAGGACAACAGCCGTGGGGAAGGTGGGAGTGGTGCGCGGTGGCTCCGAGGTCTGATGCTCCGTTGCAGGGCCCCAGGCCGCTGGGAAGCCCCAGGCGGGGCCCTGACAGTGATGTCTCTTTCCTGGAGAGGCCGCCCAGGCCCGGCTGCTGCTGCTGCTGCAATGGCGGCCTGTGCCCACCAGAGGGCGCCAAGGCCTGGCGCCGCTCGACTGAGCTGGCTCTGCAAACCCAAATTCTTTTTAATTGAAAATTTTTTTAATTCAAAAAGGATTTGCTGTTTGTAGGCGAGTGCAGGTTTTCCTTATGTGGGAGACTAATGTCTTGAGTAAACAGATCTGGGCCCAAATCCACCTTCAAAGGTGCTCGCTGTTTGCCCAGGGGAGAGAGCGGCTTCCAGAGGCAGCCCTAGTCTCTTGGGCAAACACTTTGGGGCCGCAATCCCGCCGAGGACAGCGTCTGTGGGAAGGGTTATCCGCAGCCTAAGGGGGATTATGTCAGGGGACATATGTTGAAATTTCATTTGGGGAGTTAGAGAAAACAAGGGGGGAGTCTCCTTTCTCTCCAGCCAATATAACCTAAAAAGGGAAAATCCCAAGGGCAGAGGTGGGGGACAGCAATCTGTGCTGCGCCCGGACCCAGGCGGGGGGTGAGGGGAGGGCTGTGAGTCAGGAAAGGGCTGTGTGTGCTCTCCCCCTGCCCCTGCCCCAGACATGAGAGGAGGAGGATTTAGCAGTTCATCCTTGAAGGCCCATCTGTGCCTCCTTCCTAGGGACCCTGCCCCTACTCCTGGCCACAAAGACTGGCCTCAGGACTCCTTAAGCCCAGGCCAGCACTTGCTTGCCCAGGCTGGGAAGTGTCTCGATCCCGCTCTGGCCCCCACCTTTTCTGGGGCCACCCCTGCTGGCACCCAGTCAGCAGAGGGCTCAGGCCTCTGGCTCTGGACATCTGGGAGCTACTGCCTCTGCCTCCACCTCCCTTCATGGGCTCTCTGTGCTGAGCAGCCCCCACAGATACAGGCCTGACCGCCCCTGTGTCCCCACCATCCCGGAGCTGGAGCTGGCACAGAGCCTGCCCAGCAGGACCCCGCAAAGCCTCCCAAAGGAGGTGTGATGCAGCCGAGGGCCTGGCCACTGGCACTGGCGCCTCCTCATTTGAGAGGTGCCTCACCCCACCCCTGCTGCTGCCCCCCAGGCAGGCGTCTCCCAGCTGGTCCCAGAGCAGCCGAAGTGAAGCCCCCAGCCTCCTGCACCCCCTCAGCCTCTGGGTCCTCATTCCAAGTGCTGGGCCCGGCCTCTTCTCTCCCCACCTTGAAACATCTTCACACCCGAGTCCAGCTACCCGGACCCCAAGTGCTCCCACTTCCCCCCTCACCCCCAGTTCCACGTCTCCCCAGAGTGCTCCTTGGCCACTGGCAGCAAAGCTCTCGTGCTCTCTCCCCCGGCCTTGTCTCCTGTGCGCTCATTTGGGTCAATGGCCCGGCTGCTCGCGGGGCCCTCTGCTGGCCCCCAGCGCCCAGCACTGGGTGGATGTGGGGGATTAGCTAAGGCAGCCCAGGAGGGAACACTTACTGCTGTGATGCACCTGAGCAGCCACCAGGTGGCGGTGTTGTCCCAGACTTCGCCTGGAGTCCACTGCCTCCTGCTGCAGGTCTGCCAGCCACCTGGGAGCTGAACCCGAAGGTCCTGGCCTGGTCCCTGGTCCCTGGTCCCTAGAGAGCAGAAGAGTGACCGGGCTGGTCACCAACAGACGTACCCGAGGCCAGGGGAGGGTCAGAGGCACAAACCTCATCCCACCCGCACCGCAGCCCTGGGAGGGCAGATTGTGACTCCACTCCATTGAGGTATAATTGACATAAAACATTGTATTCATTTCAGAGGTACAACCTAAGGCTTCACTGTTTGTATGTATCTCAGAGTGGTCAGTCCCGTTAACATCCATCACCATAGTTACAGAATCTTTTTCCCGTATGAGAACTTCTAAGATTTACTCTTAGCAGCTTTCAAACATGCAAAACAGTATCAGCCATCATCACCACGCTGCCCTCCACTTCCCCGAGACTTCTTAGAACCGGAAGTTTGTACCTTTTGACTCTC